TTTAATAAAGTAGCAATCCGCTACAATGCAATCCGGTCAGGCTTTACTAAGGTAGCAATCCGTTACAATTCTCAACCGGTCTGGCTTTACTAAGGTAGCAATCCGCTACAAGTCTTTAACCAAGGCTTTACGAAGGTAGCAATCCGCTACATGTTCGAGAATAAAGTAGCAATCCGCTACAATGGTTTCCACCTTTTCCCAGTCAAACGAGATTGGATTTGTCAGTTGATTGACTCATTTATACAGAAATTTAATAAGGATATGATACATAACTGAGGAAATAGCTGTATAAAACTGGTCAAAAATAAGTGCGCAAGCACCAAAATGTGCATTCATACCATAATGGAATTTCCGTCACTGGTCCCCACCTAAACAGCTTTTAAGCTTAGAAATCGACAACTAATGCTTTATAAATGACCATTTTAGCCATTCAATTTACCTATTCTCGTAAAATTAGCAACGAAATAAACAAACGCAATAACAATGCTATTATTGAGAATAAGCATACGCCAACTTTATTGAGAAATGAATCTCCTATGTGTTTATGGATACTACCGAATTGCAATTTAAATATTCTTTCTTCTAGCTCAGATATCGCAAGCCCAGGGAAAGCACCAAAGCAAGTGTAATAATTCACCGGGTTTATTTACAGCATGTTTCGAAAACATTAACAATTTCATTGAAAAGCATAAAAATATACAATTTCACCGGGTTTTCTATTGCCACCGGAATCGATACATGAGGATGCCAGTTCCAAACAATGCCGTTAAAATATTCACCGGAGTAATTCACCGAATTCGCTCATACCCTAAAATGTCAATACATGAAAAAGTGAATATATAACGCATAAAATAACATTAATTTCGTGTGGTGACCCAAAACAATATTTACTCAAACTCTAAGCAGGCCTTAAAGAATATTACATCAAACGTTCGCATCACTAACGTACCTTCATGAAAACACCGGGTTAAATCATCAATCAAATAATAGGGGACTATATATACGCTGTATTAGCTACCAGGAGATAATTAAAACACACTCAATGTCAATGTAATATTTAGTACAAAATCAATCTGACAAAAACCAATTTAAAAATTTTAAGAAATGGTAATAAGAAAATAATTGAATTATGCATTTTACGTTTGCAACTCATCGTTCCTTAAAAATTTGAGAAATGAAACAGGTGAAATTTTACGTACTGCTTTAAAAATATTTAACTTGCGAATATAAGTATTTTCCGATTGATGACAGAAACAGCTAAATATATAAGTTAAGTAATCATCAGCGCTAAATAATTTCATCCAAGCGTCGGCCGAAAGTTATCAATAATAATAAATTCAGCAAACCTTTGTAATCTCAAGAACTGTTTTCAACGTTTGTGCCTTTAAATGAATTTTCATTAATGAATGGCTTTATAAAGCACAAGTTGTAGCAATAATAGTGAATTATGTTCTAATCAGTATATTTTGTATTTTCTCGATTGTTAAAATTTCCATAATCTTATTTCATTTTGCACCACTTTAACACAATAACTGCCTTAACAATTTCAAAAAGATATGTTTAAGCACTGTCTATCTGTTTCTAATCAATGTTATTATTTTAATCATGGTTTTCAGGAATAATACCTTGTGTATAAATTAATAAGCCTTCACAGTTTTTCTTGTCTTATTGAGAGATATTGAATGAACAGAATTTATGTCAATTCAAAGTTTTTCTTTATTCGTTTCAATGGTATTGCTTTTTCTCTGCTTAGATTTCACTAAGTTAGTTTTCAATCAAACCTTTCGAAAATTTTAAGACAGGCATTAATCTATTTCTAATCTCGGAGGTATTTCCTTAAAAATAGCTGGCAAAGCGAACGTTTTGCACTTTTAAACCACACCTATTGAAAATTTTGAACAAGGGTATTGCTATAGGACTCTTTCAAAGGCTACAGTTTATTACCTCCAAGACTAATTTAACTTGTATAACTGCTTTAAGTGCAAATATTCCTTCCTTGTTCAGATTTGAAAACAACAATATTTAGTTGCAAGATTGTTGGGCTTTTAATAAGCTAGGTTGACTAAAAACAAGTGAGTAAATATATTCACCTATCTATTTGCTTTTCTGCTCACCACCCGAACCACATTTAACAACGCCGTCAATTTAAATAGATACTTAGATAACAATCAGTTAATAGCAAACTTGGCTCATTTTGGCATAACAGCTAAAATTTCAAGCTTTCAAATGCTCATTATTATAATCCCTAGATAATTTGAAAATTTAAAATCTCTAAAATATCAAAACAATCTGACATAAGGCGAAGTGTGGCTTTTTTCAAAATCGAAAGTAAATTCAAGATGTCGAAATACATTTGGCTAGTTCAGTCCATTGGAATAGCGTTGAATGTTTTTAACTAATTGTTGTAGTTGAATTCAAAAAAATCAACTTAAATGTTGGTCTACATAGTTCCCAGGGAAATTCCGATCGGGACGAGGATTTAATTTGGACTGATTTCTCTTTTAAGTGTTTTTTCTTCCTGTTGTAAGGTGCTGCCAACCCATAAACGTCCAATACGTCCGAGTTCCCTCAATAAGTGCTAGCTTACAGGGGATTCAAAATAAACTTTGATCGAAAGATAGAATTCATCGCCTTTTCTACCGTACTTTACAGTAACCGGTTTTAGTTATTCAACAGCCTAACAGGCTTTTCGCGCATGCCGTTTGCGAAAATTTCCGCCAATTTTAGGGCTAGAAGTACCTAAAGCTATGTACAAAATTTATGCCCATCAAACAGGTGGTTTTGATTAAATTGCAAAAGTTCGGCTGTAGCACCCGCGCCTAGGAATCGTGATCTTGTTCCCATTCTCTCCCTCACTGCACCACTCCCATACTAACTTGCATTTACGCGATAATATCGACCATTTTCAATGAACCATATACGCAAGATCCGTCAACCACTGTACTATACCTTACTTCGCCTGTTTCTCAAAATTGCTCTTTCAATTCTAGCAGTCGAATGAGGAGCAATTCTACTCGATTTAAGGTACCATCGTTAAGAAAAAGAATATGCAAACTTTAAAAAGAAGATAGGTTGTTTGAGTGGGTATCTAGCTAAATTGTGCCGACTCCTAAGGAATCGTTTTTGCCAGGAGTCAGATCTACATAAAAGTCCCAATTTTCCCTCCAAACAGACGAGAAATCCTTATTCAGAAGTTTATTTGATAGTCCGCTGTTTATTACAAAAGGGTGCATTTTAGAGGGGGTTTGAATGACATCTCTTCATAAGCAAAAAGAACTAATATTTAGAAAATCAAGTAAGTGACTTAAAATGCTTTAACGAATAGTGATCCTACCACATACCTCCATAAAAGATAATAATATGCCAAGTAGTGAAAGCCTATGGTATTCCTATATCGGTCAATGTGTATGTTAAGAAACAATGTAGAGATCTCTTGTCGGTAATAGGTGTTTGGGGAAGGACTGGAACGGAAAGTACGAATTGGGTATACTTTATCTTGCCACAAGAAGGAAAACGAACTTTAATACTACCCCTTGCAGAATATATTAAGCTGATCAAAGGAAACTCATAAGTGCTATAACCTTCTGGAAGTTACAGCATACCCAAAACGCAGAAGCATAGCGACACCGATTAATCTATGTACCACGTGGGTATGGCGCAGCAAATATATCCATTTTAAGAATCTCACTTCAAATAGTGATATAAACATTCTGTCTCCATTCCCTTTTTGGTACAGCAATTGCCTAAAGGAAGCTATAGTCGTTGTGACGATCTTTAATTTCGTTTATCATTCAATTTCAGAGGAATAGCGCGAAAAACACAAAAGAAAAGTCATTTGTGCTTCAAATGTTGCTTTTACTGCTAACGCAAATTGCCAATAATTGTATTTTGAGCACCTATTTAAAAAAGATTAAACACTCTTATAAAAGTCCAGAAATATGATTATGAGATAGTGTGAAAGAACATTTAAGATCAGACAGTTGCATATTGGATATTTGCATGTACTGATCTTTAGAAAAAACATCACAAGATATGTCACTCACATATGTTTTCTCTGACATTTGACAAAAAACACAACTGTGAAGCTAGAAACAAGCAAGACTCACTCCAACTATTTAATTTAGAAAGACCGATTTTGGAACTAAAAGATTTAAATCGAGCCTAAGATTCGAGCAGGTTGTGAAAAACCATTTTGAATGTCATCCAAATGTTTAGTGACTGATTAGCATATAAAATTTGACAGTCCAAGACCAAATCTTTTAGAATTATACAGATGAATATGTTTGAAGTCACATCAAAAAAGCGAATAGTGACTCACGTCTTCTTTAAAACCTACCAACTCCACTAAAAGAGGTGTAGAGGGTAGGACGCTAACACTATGGAGCTGTTCAAACGAGAAGCTCATTCTAGCACCTCTCTAACTAATCACTAGAGACCGTTGATCCCAGACCCGCCGATCGGCTTTTTATTGCACGCAACATCTGACAATCTAATTAATATTCTCAGCCACAGCAAGGCAAAGGTTCATTCGGAGACAATCTAGCTAGATCTAGCTTATTATATAAATAGCCTAAAAAAAACCACCGATGATAGAATTAGCTACGGAAGAAGTACGTCCTTAATTAGTGATCAATATAGCAAGAAGAAAGTAATTTGAAGAAAACAATTCAAGAGCCAAGTGAACAATAAATCAGATATTTTCAGGATTTGGGTCAGCAATTATACAAACGAAAAAAGAACTATCACATTAACGTTTGTTACGAAAGCAGATAGTAAATTCTACCTGGATAGGAGTTCCATTTAGCAAGAAATTACCTGTTTCATAAACGGAATCACCACGTGAGGAAGCCATGAAATTCACATATATGGATCGATGTTGTCAGCTTCATGTCATTTCGACCATATCAATTGTAGACAAAACAAAAATAGTTCAGTGATTGAGCATAATGTAGGAAGTTGGGAGGGAATAGGCAAGGAATATTGAAAAAAGAGAACGTTGTTTATCGCAGATCTCGAACCTCAATAGGGGCGTCTATAAAGACAACATGCTTACACCGAGTATAGAGATCTCGAGTAGCTGAATGTTCGTGGAACCCTGTTTGTTGACACTCAAGAATAAATCCAAGACCATAGTCCGGAGTGAGGGAAAAGTATTCAACCTCATCGAATTTCGGGGAACAAACAATTGCAATAGCCTCCGGAAGCATAAGTTGATAAGAGAGCTGACAATGGAGATCCATTGAGGACATAAAGGCAGTCTGTGAAGGATGAGTATGAATCCAACCAAGAACAATCAGCCCAGAAGATTCAATGCAGTCCAGTAACTCTTCCTCGTTTGTTGTGGTACAAGAATTCGGCGTGACAATCTGTTTGCTGATGATTAAATGAGAAATTACTAACTTATCGCCTTCAGGAGATAACCTTCCGCATAGAGTACCACAGGTTTCAAGTTTAAGGAGCGTATTGGGTTCTGCTATCCGAAGAAAAGTACTAACAAGAGAAGTGGGAACAAGAATAGGGTGCAGACCATCAATAAGACATGCCGTTGGTGATACAGTCGTGGGTTTAGTGCTTCGATCGACCTTAGGAGGCGATAGTTTCGATGGTGTGGAGTTTGAAATTAGGGGAGAGGGAATTACACTGGTATTCGCCAAAAGAGGAGACGGTAAATCTGGGGGAGGTGAAGGTGCTCGAAGAATTTTTTGAAGTTCAAGCACTTCAGCATCGTAGCCTGCTAGAATTTCTTTATGCATTTCTTCAACCCTCTTTAATACTCGACCACATTCCCGAGACCACTGATTCTGAATTTTCGGGTCGCATGATTTATAATCTTGGCGTTGACTTAAGAAATTGAGAAAAAGAATGACAAAACGTCGTCGAAGACAGTAGGCCTGGGTTTTACAGCCATCTGATTCATAATCATTTGCCATATTCAGCATAGAACGACAAACCCGGAAATAAGATTTGATGCCAACACTTGGACTATAATCGACAACAATATTGTTATTTAACTCCCTCATCCTTTCATCTGCCGATTTTATTCTACACAAGGAAAAAAGGAGTGAAAGCGAAGCACACAAAGATTTAGAAAATATGGCGTTACTAAACAAGTTACCTATCGATCTGTGAAGACGAAGCCATCATTTGAACAGCATCAATCAGCAAATGGATTTATCAAGTTGACTTTCAAAATGCGCGATCATACCAAGCTAAAAAACCTTGTGCAACGGAGCCGCATTCACTTATATAAATTAAAACACATAAAAATGATTTCGACACATTCAGTAATTTTTAAAGTTTAAGGTATATATTTAAAGTGAATAGCTAACTATTAATGCACTCATTTTTATTAATAATTATAAGAATAATTAAAATATTCAGTTGAAAAGAATTAAAGAACCGAATATGTCCAACAGTTGACTCTAATCTTTCTGTTTTTCTAGACGTTTTACTTCCATGCTTTCTTGATAGAGAAAGAATCGTGTTATTCTTATTTTATGATTCGTTTAAACACAAAATTATACATTTTTTAAAGAAAATGTTAATATTTATTATCTTCATTAGAACTCATAACTAAGAAACAATAAACATACATTGGAATCCTTTCTTGAAGCAAAGTATATTCACTTATTAAGCATATCCCTATTCTTAATCTGTACTAGACAGTCTGATTTCTTAATCATATTTTAAAATGTATTCATAACTCACAACATCCACCTATCAATTAAATTTTTCAACTCTTTAGTTTACGATCACAGTGTGACTCGTGCGTCCGCGCTAATATATCTGGAAAATATAATTTTTTAGTGAATGAAACGGATAAGGCAATTTACACTAATTAATTGGATATAGTCTATTGGTAGTTTAAAAGCTGTCAATTTGCATACTTATAAATAAATAAATGCAAATTGATAGCTTGATAATTTTCCATTTTTGACTATTTTAGCTTGTCAATAGCGAAAATATATTTGGATTCTCAAGAATATGTGGATTACATGAAGCCTTGCAAATCTCTTACGAACAAACAATCAGCAATATAGTTATTTTCTTCGAAAATTGAACCCGAACTGTCCTTCCTTTTTAAAAACAACTATTACGGTTTCTCCATATTTTCTAGATATGCTAGTCAGTTTTCTGTTGTATTCGACTAATCTAAGATGTTCTCCCTTACTATTCCCTCTACCAACGATAACATGTAATTGTGCCTAACAATCTGAGACAGTGTAAAATTAACGAATTATACATTGCAAAAACTACTTGAAGAAAGTCGTTTCATCATGATTTGTCTCCCAGCCTTCTAAGCTCAAGAAACAATGACTTTATTCAAATTTAAATAATTTGCTGAAATTAAGTTTATGAACCAAATTGTCACATTTTGATAAAATAATGTGGAACACGTTATCGCGTTGTGCGTCATCGTATGCCTGCATGTCTGCTCGCCAGGATATGTGGGACACGTTATCGCTGTGTGCACCATCGTATGTCTGCATGTCTGCTCGCCAGGATTGGGAGGTCTTATGCCTGCATGTCTGCTCGCCAGGATTGGGAGGTGCGGCGTACAACTCTGTGTGCAGCAACCGTACAAACAATGACCAATCGTCAACCTCTGTTTGTTTAACCTAATCCCTC